TATTCATTTTCAACCAGTTTAAAAATTTTGAAAAGACCAATGTATCTTGGACTGAGCTTACCCCTCTTACCAAATCGTAGCACCCCCTTCAAGGGTGTAACCTTTAAAAGTATTCTATCTCCTATAGCAAATTTCAAGTCCTTTCTCCTTTTATCTGCATAATTTTTCTATCTATCTTGAGACTTCTTCATGCTAACTCTAATCTTTTCAATTGCTTGTACTGTCTGCTCCACAATTTCTGGGCCCAAGATCTTATGTTTGCCAACCTCATCCCAATGAATAGGCGATCTACATTTTCATTTAGATTGTACATCAGTTTGAGGATGGAAAGCTGTACTAAAGTTTAATTTAGTTCCCATAGCCTGATGTAAAATCTTCCAAAAGTTTGATGTAAACCTTGGGTCCCTATCAGATCCAATTGAAACTAGGGCACCATGCAGTCTCACTACTTCTTTAACATATAACTGTGCAATTGGTCTATGGAAAATGTCATGTGAACAGGTAGGAAATGGGTGGACTTGGTTAAACGATCGACGATCACCCAAATAGCCTCGTATCCTTTTACTGACTTCGGAAAGCCTACAGCAAAGTCCATCATCACATGCTCCCATTTCCATTCTGGAACTTCCAATAACTGCAACAATCCTGATGATCGCTAATGTTCGGCATTCACCTGTTGATATATCAAGCACTTCCCCACATATTTAGCTATATCTCCCTTTATATTTTTCTACCAAAACACAGCTCTTAGGTCACGATACATCTTTGACTTCCTGGATGCATAGAATAAGGAGTAGAGTGGGCTTCCTCTAAGATTTCAGTTTTCAATTCTTCGAAATCTGGTACACATAGGCGTCCTTGATAATAAAGTGTCTTATCTTTAGCTATGGTGAAATCTTTCCTTTTTTTTATATTAATCTCAGCTTTGATAAACTCAAAGGATTGATCATCCTTTTGATGGCACTTAATCCAATCATGAAGAGTCAGTCGAATTGAAAGTGCTGCCATTCGAGCAATAGAATTAGAGGGAGTAGCGACCACTTCGAGACTTAATCTTTCAAATTCTCACCATAAAGGCTTTTGTGTTGTTAACATCGCCACTTGCCCTGTCCTCTTCCTACTCAAGGCATCAACTACTACGTTTTTCTTTCCTGGGTGGTAATGAATTTCACAATCGTAATCTTTTACTAGTTAAAGCCATCTTCTCTGCCTCATGTTCAACTCCTTTTGGGTAAAGATGTTGTAACGACCCAAATCTTCATAATTTAAGTCGCTACCAACTTTATTTATTAAATGGTCAATTTTATTGGAAGCCACATATGGATTCATAAATTTTAAATTAACAACTAGCGCATTTTTTATTTTTTTTTGAAATCTAATTCACTAGAAATAAATAAGGGTATTTCGATGTGCTCAACCGCTAACTAAACATTTACATAAGATAACTGAAACTGGTAGGAGTCAAAAGACAAAAATACCAACAAATGCTCCTTTTTATTAAGACATCCGAACCCATTTTACATCTCATTATGCTTCCAGTCAAATAATTATTATTTAACATGAATTTGCCAAAAGGTCATATCCCATTTTTATTATTATGTATTTTTTTTATGTAGGTTGCATTAATTACGCTTGCATGGGAACTGTAAATCAAATTTTTCAAGGTTTCTTTATGTTGAAATCAGTAACAAGCTTCCACGTCACTTTCTTCCTTTATCGCTAATTAATACAATCTCAGTAGATAAAAGAAAACTCTAAACGACCAACACGTTAATTATTCACTAAACGAAGCTTGTCTAATATAAAGGCAAAGATTAGTTTCTCACAAGAATTTAAGACTCTACAGATCAAGTCATTATAAATAAATGTCTACAGCAATCAACTTAAAAGAAATGTGTTACGTGTTATTTTTAGATCTTCGTCAAGCCATATAAGGCACAACCACACCATCGAACCATCACGCTCCGACATGACCTGATCTAACCTGTAAGGTGTAGGGAAAGGGTGAGTACATAGAAATACTCAGTAGGATATCAAATTTTAATCGTACGATCCCGAATAATAATTTAGAAACATGTGTCAGAATATCATACCGTCGCATATCTTTAAAAATTCGATAAGAGCTCACATCATATCATATCAAATCATTTCATTATATGCCGGAATTGCCATATCATTCATATCATAGCATTTCATATCATAACTTTAACTTTCATAAGTATAAAATTCACCAACATGTGAAAAAGAATAATTAAATGGGACATAAAAACACTGCACCTCATATCCTACCTTGTTAAACTGCTTTAATATGAAGACAAAAGAAAAACAACGTTCCTTTCTCCTTTCCTTTTCTATCTCTATTGACAATGTGTGCGTGCACCAATATATTTTTGTGTCTCGATTCTCGTGCAATTCATTCCATACACATGTGCAGAAATATTCATAGGAAAACGTGTGGAAGATAGTGGGTATTTAGATAAAGTTGAGAAAACTGTTTTGAAACAAATAGGAGACCAAGCCTTATCAATATAGGATCACGTACTTGTCAACTAACCAATCACCCAAAAACAACCCATTACTGTACACGTGGTGATAGCCATTTAATTCAAGCTTCTAATTAAATAATAATAAAAATTTGTTTCTCAACAACTACTCACGTGGTTGCGGCTCCCCATATCTTTCTCTATCTCTCTTTCTTTTTTCTTTTTTTTTTTTTAAATAAACAAATCAATCACTAACCTACCGCCTACCAAGAATCTTAGTATCTCACATGTGAAACTTTCCAATTCAATACCTACTCAATAAAATAATAAAATTAATAACAAGAGTAATAACAACAACAACAACAACAATAATAATAATAATTTAAAGCTATATCTTTCAACCTCGATAACTTGAGCTCTGCTAATCCAAATTAACTTTTTCTCGAGCTTAATATGCATCTTTAATTACGATCTATCCAACGAGCCCAATATTAATATATTTATCGTCGCTCCGTCAACATCTACATTTTAACATCCGATAATATTGAAATTTACTTTTTATATATTTTAGTACCTAAACTTCCAAAATATTAAAATATAGTACACAAATTAAATTCTAAATTATGAAATTTTGGGACATTACAATCTCCCCTTCTTAAAATATTTTCATCCTCGAAAATTTACCTTAGTTAATCGAAGAGCTCTGGATACTTGGTTTTAAGATCCTCCTCCTTTTCCCAAGTTGACTCATCAAGTCCATGATTTTGCCATTGGACCTTGACTGGGGGAACTTCCCAGTTTCTGAGATGATGCACTTTTTCTGTCCAAAATCATTGTCGGGACTTCTTCATATGACAAGTCTTTTTGTACATCCAAAGTTTGATAACTTACCACATGATTGGGATCATAGACATATTTTCTGAGCATCGAAACATGAAACACATTATGCACTGCTGCAAGTTTAGGTGGTAAGGCAAGTCAGTAAGCCACAACACCAATCCTTTCAAGGATCTCGAAAGGTCCAATGAACTGCGGTCTCAACTTCCCTTTCTTCCCAAATCTCAATACACCCTTCAGTGCTGCTACCTTTAGAAAAACCTTGTCGCCCACTTGAAATTCTAAATTCTTTCTTCTGCCATCAGCATAACTTTTCTGTCAGTCTTGTACTACCTTTATTCTTGCTCTAATCTTATCAACTGCCTCAACTATTCGTTGAATGATTATAGGACCCAAAATTCTATTCTCCCCCAACCTCATCCCAATGGATAGGGGATCTACATTTCCTACCATAAAGAGCTTCAAATGGGGCCATACCTATAGTGGCCTGAAAACTATTATTGTAGGCAAACTTCACTAATGGCAGATGTGTTTCCCAACTACCACCAAGACATGCCCTCAACATATCTTCCACAGTTTGAATGGTTCTTTCTGATTATCCATCTGTCTGAGGATGATAAGCAGTACTAAACTTCAGTTTTGTCCCCATAGCAACCTGCAAACTATTCCAAAATTTTGATGTGAACCTCGGGTCTCTATATGAAACAATGGTGACAGGAACTCCATGCAATCTGACTATTTCCCTAATGTATAACTTTGCGAGCTGTTCCATGTTGAAGCTTACTTTGATTGGTAGAAAATGGGTTGACTTTGTTAGACGATCAACTACTAACCAAATAACATTGTGACCTCTAGTTGACCTCGGGAGACCTACCATAAAGTCCATCGATATGTGCTCCCATTTCCATTTTGAAATATCCAACGGTTTCAGTAGTCCTGATGGCCTTTGATGTTCTGCCTTGAGCTGCTAGCAGATAATACATTTCTCCACGAATAGACTAATTTCTCTCTTCATGTTTTTCCACCAAAATGTATCTTGAAGATCTAGATACATTTTCGTACCACCTAGATGTACCGAATATGGGGTAGAGTGAGCCTCTTCCAATATCTCATTTCTTAAACTTTCAACCTTAGGTACACATAATCTTCCTTTGAAAGTCGGCGCGTTATCTACAGATATTTTAAACCCTATACGTTTGTTTGAACCAATCTCAGTCTTTATCTTTTATAGAAATGGATCATTATCTTGTGCTTCCCTAATTTGATCCCGAAGTGTAGGTTGAATCATAAATGCTTTAATCATCGCTGTAGTCTGAGTCGGCGGTGTGACAACTTTAATTTAAGTTTCTCAAAGTCCCTTATCAAGTATTCTTACACCATGGGTAGAACTGTTAACTGTGATCCTGTCTTTCTACTTAGGACATCTGCAACTACGTTAGCCTTACCCAGATGGTAATGAATTGTGCAATCATAATCTTTCACTAACTCCAACCATCTCCTTTGTCTCATATTCAGTTCCTTTTGTATGAAGAAGTATTTGAGACTTTTGTGGTCTGTATAAATTTCACACCTCCCACCATAGAGATAATGATGCCATATCTTTAAGGTGTGAACTACTGCTACAAGCTCTAAGTTGTGAGTTGGATAGCTTTGCTCATAATGCTTCAACTGTCTCAAGGCTTAAGCAACTACTTTTCCATGCTGCATCAGTACACAACTCAAACCCTGTTTGGAGGCATCGCTATAAATCATAAATCCATCCGAGCCATCTGGTATTATCAATACCGGAGCTGAAACTAGTCTCTGCTTGAGTTCTTGAAAACATTTTTCACATTTTTCTGTCCACTGAAACTTTACACCCTTTCTTGTCAACTGAGTCATCGGCCCTGCTATTTTTGAGAAACCTTCAATGAATCTTCTATAATAACCAGCCAATCCTAAGAAACTGTGGACTTTACCCACACTGGTTGGCCTTGGCCAATTTGTTACTACTTCTACTTTAGCAGGATCTACGTCGATTGCTTGTGCGATAACCATGTGACCAATAAAACCTACGCGATCAAGCCAAAATTCACACTTCTTGAATTTGACATATAATTTCTCATTCCTCAAAGTTTCAAGTACCATTCAAAGTTGTTCCTCATGCTGCTTCTTATCCTTTGAATACACAAGTATGTCGTCAATAATTACTATAACAAATTGATCTAAGTACTGATGGAACACTCGATTCATGAGATCCATAAATACCGCGGGAGCATTGGTTAAACCAAAAGGCATGATAGTGAATTCATAATGCCCGTAACGAGTCCTGAAGGCAGTTTTTGGTATGTCGCTTGCCCTATTTTTAGTTGATGATACCCTGACCTCAAGTCGATTTTTGAGAACACTGTTGCACAACTTAACTGGTCGAATAGATCTTCAATTCTTCACAATGGGTACTTATTTTTGATGGTCAGATGGTTTAATTACCGGTAGTCAATGCACATCCTCATACCCCCATTCTTTTTCTTGACAAAAAGTACAAGAGCTCCCCAGGGAGATACACTTGGTCGAAATGAAACCTTTCTCCAACAACTCCTCTAATTGCAACTTCAATTCTTGAAGTTCTTTCGGTGCCATCCGGTACAGGGCCTTGGATACTAGTGTTGCTCCAAGAACCAAATCAATTGTAAATTCCACTTGCCTATCTTGTGGAATGCTTGGTCAATCTTCTAGGAATACGTCTGCAAAATCTCACTCAATGTTAATATCGTTAACAATCATTTCTGTATGTTGGGGACTGGTGATATTAACTAGAAATCCTTGACATGACTCCTTTTTCAACATCTTTTCCGCTTGAATAGCCAATACAAGACGAGGCAAAGACTTGAACTTTGCTCTAAAGAAACGAAATTCTTCCTCTCTCGGTCTGTGAAACAATACTTCTTTCTCGTGACATCGAATGGTCGAGTGATTAAGTCCCAACCAATCCATGCCTAAAATAACATCGAAATCTTTCGTCTCCAAAAGGTATAAGCCTGCTTGTAATATTTTCCTATCAATCTCTAACTTCATAGCTTTAGTCATCTGATTTGAACAAAGAGTTCTTCTTGAAGGGATGCTAACCTCTAATTCATTATTCGTTTTCACACATGTAAAGTTTAACCTAGCGATGAATGATGCAGAGATAAAAGAATTGGTAGACCCAGAATCAAAAAGTACGTAAGCAGGTACATCAAACAGTAACAGAATACCTATTTTTGTAATTGTAGTGTTAGATTAGCAACCAAGGGACATAGATCAAATAATGTATAGTTCTAGGTAGAAGAACGTAAACAGTTACATTAAATATATTAATAATAAAATACCTGCTATCACATTCGGATCCTGCTCCACCTCATGCTGATTCAGTGCAAAAACTCGAGCCTTTGCTTTCTTATTCTTATCTTGATCATCATCCTTCTTTCTTGGAGGCTCTGTGCTCTTGAGGGCAATGTGTCTCGGCTTACCACACCGGAAACACATGTTCTTCCCAAGTAAACATTCACCCCTATTGAGTTTATTACACTTAGGACATGGTGTAATACTTCTACTCGTCCCACCAATACGAACTCCTGTGCTTGGCCTTTTATTTTGCCAGTTACATCTGTTCTTGTTTTGATCACTCCACTTTCTTTTTCCCAACGATGAGCTCTCTCCAACATCTCATGATATGAGGTGAAACGATAAGACATAATGATGATACCGATTTTTGGGCGCAGTCCATTTTCGAACTTCCTAATCTTCTTAACTTCAGCGTCCACCAAATGTGGAGCATATCTTGAGAGCTGCTCAAACTGCCTCTCGTAATCAGTAAGCGACAGGTCTCCCTGCCTGAGCTACAGAAACTCTGATTCCTTGAAGTCTCTCAAAGCTTGTGGAAAATATTTTTCCATCACTTCATCGTTAAACTGCTCCCAAGTCAAGTTACGTTGCTGCTCTTCTATCCTAGTGTGTGAGACAGATTCCCACTAGTGACTAGCTGCTCCAACAAACATAAATTCTGCGCATAGCACTTTCTGTACGTCTGTACAAGCGATGCGTCGAAAGATGCGCTCTAGACCTCTAATCCACTCCTTAACAACCACTGGGTCGAAACCACCATCGAAAGTCGAAGGCTTGTACCTGTAAAATTGCTCAACTACTGAGACGGCTCCCGGGACAAATGGAGGTGCATTTTACTGTGGCGGTGCTTGGCTCTGTCTGTTCAGTTCTTGTACCGCTCGAAGTAAATCGCGCATCAAGTTCGTGTGAGTAGGTGGTGCCATTTCCTAAAATTTAATTTGAAGTTACCAGTCACATTCCAGTTCTAAGTCTAACAAGTTATACTTATTTTATTGTATGCATATCATAAATTTAATGAGAAAGTAGCCTTAAAAATTTAAAGATATGCAATTTAAAATATTTAAAATTATGCAAAATGTCGAAGTACATTTATCTTCTTACCCTTTTACATACCTTAGGGTCGTCGGGGGGTGGCCGATTGGTGGTCGTTCAGTGCCAAAGATCATTCACATATTTAATAACTTTAAATTGACTTTATCTTTAAATTCATAAACCTTTAGAAAAATATTAACCTTTAACAAACATTATGCAAGAGAATGGGTAAACAAATAAACATTTTATTATGCGTAACATTTAAAACATGTAAAGTCTAATGTTTATATATATAAAAGGACATTTCTAAAAGTTATATATGTGCCTATATACATACACGTACAAAGCTAAAGGATTACTTTGCAATTTCGCAATTTAAAGGTTCCATATAATGGAGGCTGGAAAAAAAAATTCACATACTATATACTCATTTCATTTTTATTTATTTATTATTTTTTTTTACATATGTTTTCTCAGACTCTTCACGTCGTAAATTTATAAATTTTTTTTTTAGGGACCAACTTTAATTTTTTTTTTTTAATACTCATACTATCAACATATATGTGGGTCTATAGGAAAATAAACCTACGCTCTGATACCAAACTGTAATGACTCAAATCTTTAATTTATTGGAAACCACATATGGATTCATAAATTTTAAATTAACAACTAGTGCATTTTTTTTTCTTTTTTTGAAATCTAATTCACTAGAAATAAATAAGTGTATTTCGACGTGTTCAACCGCTAACTAAACATTTAAATAAGATAAGTGAAACTGACAGGAGTCAAAAGACAAGAATACTAACAAATGCTCCTTTTTATTAAGACATCCAAACCCATTTTACATCTCATTATGCTTCCAGTCAAACAATTATTATTGAACATGAATTTGCCAAAAGGTCATATCCCACTTTTTTATTATGTATTTTTTTTTATGTGGGTGGCATTAATTACACTTGCATGGGAACTGTAAATCAAAATTTTTAAGATTGTTTTATGTTGAAATCAGTTATAAGCTTCCACGTCAGTTTCTTCCTTTATCGCTCATTAATAAAATCTCAACTAATAAAAGAAAACTCTAAACAACCAACACGTTAATTATTCACTAAACGAAGCTTGTCTAATATAAAGGCCAAGATTAGTTTTTCACAAGAATTTAAGACTCTACAGATCAAGTCATTATAAATAAATTTCTACAACAATCAACTTAAAAGAAATGAGTTACGTGTTATTTTTAGATCTTCATCCAGCCATATAAGGCACAACCACACCATCGAACCATCACGCTCCGACATGACCTGATCTAACCTGTAAGGTGTAGGGAAAGGGTGAGTACATGGAAATACTCAGTAGGATATCAAATTTTAATGGTACGATCCCGAATAATAATTTAGAAACATGTGTCAGAATATCATACCGTCGCATATCTTTAAAAATCTGGTAAGAGGTCACATCATATCATTTCATTGTACCGGAATGGTCATATCATTCATATCATAGCATTTCATATCATAACTTTAACTTTCATAAGTATAAAATTCGTCAACATGCGAAAAAGAATAATTAAACGGGAAAGCACTGAACCTCATATCTTACCTTGTTAAACTGCTTTAATATGAAGACAAAAGAAAAATCACGTTCATTTCTCCTTTCCTTTTCTGTCGCTATTGATAATGTGTGAGTGCACCAATATATTTTTGTGTCTCGATTCTCGTGCGATTCATTCCATACACATTTGCAGAATTATTCATAGGAAAACGTGTGGAAGATAGTGGGTATTTAGATAAAGTTGAGAAAACTGTTTTGAAACAAAATAGGAGACCAAGCCTTATCAATATAGGATCACGTACTTGTCAACTAACCAATCACCCAAAAGCAACCATTATCGTAAACGTGGTGATAGCCATTTAATTCAAAGTTCTAATTAAATAATAATAAAAATTTATTTCTCAACAACTACTTACATGGTTGCAGCTCCCCATATCTTTCACTATCTCTCTTTCTTTCCTTTTTTTTTTAAAAAAAAATAATCAAATCAATCACTAACCTACCGTCTACCAAGAATCTTAGTATCTTACGTGTGAAACTTTCCAATTCAATACATACTCAATAAAATAATAATACTAATAATAAGAGTAACAACAACAACAACAACGACAACAACAACAATAACAACAACAACAACAATAATAATAATTTAAGGCTATATCTTTCGATCTCGATAATTTGGGCTCCACTAAACCAAATTAACTTTTTCTCGAGCTTAATATGTATCTTTAATTACGATCTATCCAACGAGCCCAATATTAATATACTTATCGTTGCTCCATCAACATCTACATTTCAACATCTGATAATATTGAAATTTACTTTTTATATATTTTAGTCCCTAAACTTCCAAAATATATTTAAATTTTAATCTATGAAATTTTGGGACATTACAGATGTACTTGAAGCTCTTATGATCTGTATAGATGACACACTTCCCTCCGTACAAATAGTGCCTCTAAATTTTCAAGGCATGAACTACCGCAGCCAGTTCTAGGTCATGTGTGGGATAGTTTTGCTTATAAGGCTTCAACTGTCTCGATGCATAAGCAACTACCTTGCCTTGTTGCATCAAAACACATCCAATACCCAGT